AGCAGCGGTGTGGAATACTGCTTTTGGGCGCTGGGCGCGCCGTGTATTTGGGCAGCCAACAAACAGGCGCAGACACTACCAGCGGACGTACGACGGACGACGAGCAATGGGTCAATCGGCCATCGACTCGAATCGCTGTGCATATCGGCTGTACTCTGCCTACGCTATTGTGGCCGATTCGCGAAGCTAGGCAAACCTAGCCCAAAACAAGTAGGCCCCTGGAAAGTGCCTACAAAGATCGTCAGGTGCAATTCACAGTCGACACCACCAAAGCGTTTCTGGATCACCACCAAACGATCCGACGTCCTTTGTCCACTAGAAGTATTGCAAACCTTCCGGAACAAGTTGGTCGTGATAATCCGAATCGGATTTGAGTAGAGCCTAGTCTATACTTGTTGGATAGATGCGCGGATGGCAGCTTGATACACCACCCTTACCAATACTAGCTCAAATTGTTCAGACGTCTTAAGTAAACGTCGCGTGATAGGCAAAAGTGTGATCGTGAGGTGCTTCATTTTAAGGATAGCGTATGCCGCATCGTGTCGTTTGTGTCGTGTGTCGAGTTGTGAGCGGAAATCATACGGAGACTCATCTACACTCAATAAAAATAACTGGGAATGCACGGAGATTTTAAGCTTCCCTTAATCATATAACCGAGAAGAGGCGCCAGGCTACGCAAAAAGAGAAAGGAACGCTTGGAAACTTTGACGACAACACCGCCCTGAAGTAGATTGAAGTCTCGTAGGCCGGTAGGAGGCACAACATTTTCAAAGGCTCTGAATGAAATTTCGGGAGACTTCGACCAGCGCCTAGCAGCGTACAGGCAAATGCGGAAAGCACAGCATGGCTTCCTGTTTGCTGCAAGCCAGCACCCGCCGCCAACCAGGCGAGTAGGAAAGCTTGAAGCGAACTCCCGTCCCGCATAAGCTGGTTACGTCTTATAGAGGTAACTCAAAAAACCACTCCAGGGTCATTTAATAACGATTTTTAGCGGATCAATCAGAAAGAACTTAGGAAAGCAATCGAAATAGCAGGCTAACACGATGATGTCTGAAACAACAGTGACATCAAACGTGCTAATGTAAATTTAGATCGTAAAGGAAATCGTCTCGACGACTACAACACGATATCGTCTATAGAGTTTTCCATATAGTTCGACCGAATTCGGCAAAAGTAAGAACTTTAAGAGTCAGTATCGACGCTACAGTCCGGTTGTTGAAGAGTGGGTGTAGATATTTTCGCCATCACCTAAATGTGACACTGCTCGTTTGTCGAGAGCGCTGTCAGAGTACGGCGGTAGCCAATGCCAGTGTAAATGCGAGTACCATAGCAAACCTCATGCTGAAGACGGAGCCGCGTACGAGAAGTGCCGAAGGGGCCGTTAGTTGCAATTACTCGACTGCACTGACAAAGATCGCTTGGTCTCAAGCATCGTTATCTTAGCGGACGGGCTTTTTGAGCCAGGTTAAATTTACTCTGCTCAGCTTTATCTGCCAAGACAAGTGGAATGGAATAGCTTAAGAAGATCTCCTTTAGAAAGCGTAGAGTTCAATAGAGAAAATTAAGTGTTTGTAGATGATGATGATGATGATGATGATAATGATGATGATGATGAGGGTCTAAACGGTTGAAAAACGGACGGAGATGGTTTTTGACGTTTTCGTTGTGTGAGGACATATTAAAGTCTCGCTTATTGATGCCAAGCGAGTGGATTCTGATTCATTGTTGTTAGCAATAATGGTGATGGTGTATATATTTGTGCTTCGTAAGTCTGTTGCAAGCTTGAAGAAGAGTTTGGTTTCAAAGTAAGGCAGGCTGAATTTAAGCCGTGATTAGTCGGTGGCGGGAACACGAAGAACACGAACTTTCGCTAACTAAGGAACATTCTAATTCGGCTGGTTGAGCAGGAGCAGAATCCAGGTCCGACCACAGCCCCAGCGGTCTGAAGGTTGAAGGCCTACAGCGTTATAGAGAAAGCCTGTAGGTTTACGGAACTACGAGCAGGATTAGCGCAGGCTCGTCGTTCTGATTATTACTACTATTATTACTAGTATTAGTGCTAGTTGGTGCAGTCGCAATTGTGTTGTTCTTGGCCACTGGCAGACGGTCGTCATTACTAGTCTGTGTTGTGTGAATAGTGGTAAATCTGATTCAGTTTAATTGTGGTCAGTTCTATTTAGTGCAGTGAGTGAGCTAGCGACCGAGCTGGATCGCTGCTCCAACCAGCTCGGCCCAATGATGAACTATCCGGTGTCCGAGATCAAATACGATAATGACTACAGCCCTGGGCCAACAGTACCCGGCGCGGCAATGGCCGGCATGCCCAGCGTGCCTGGCGGGCTCGCCTGCCACGCTGCCGCTATTGGTCACGGCGGCCCGTACGAATATTACAGCCAGGGTTACTACCCACAAGTGTACGACGTTAAATACGACGTGGCCTACCCTACACCACCGGGACACAATGGAAGCCCTATGCCGCCGTACTGGACTAGCGGGCTTGGTAAGACAGGCAGCCTTATCTATTAACCACACGCATAAAACATACAATACAAGTGCATATATTTCGTCCGCAGTGGTCCACATCGCAGATTGACAATAACAGCTGCGCGGAACCGCATTAAATCTAGAGGTTTTCTAAAGCGAATGTTTTTATTTAGAAGATATTACTAGATAGCTTTCGGTTGAATTTCTATTTACTGTACGCAACTCGATCTGCTCCGAACGCAGATCTAGTATAAAGTCTCCTTGGGCTCTGGGTTTGGACGAATTCTAATCTGATGCAGTGACTATCTGAGTGAGCCTTTTCATATGAGCACTTGTCTTGTAACGTTCGAGTTGTTCGGTCGAAACTAAAGCTCAAATCATGGCCACCAGATTCACTATTTGCGTTACAATTAATCTGTGGTGTGCTCTTACTTCTGAACAGGCCTGAATTCCAAACACACCGTGTATCGCGGCAATTTTTCCTTAGCCTATACACTGACAGCTTTCTACAAAAGTTGTACGAGAATTCAGGCCTTGGATTGGTTTTCAGCACATGTATTAAGCTTTTGGGTATGTGGATTATGTTGATACTATTAAAAAGGTCCACGAGACAGTGAAAAGCTTAAAAAGAAACGTTTCAACAGCTAGAATTATGCTTATTTGCCATTTTATCTTCGAGATGGCCAGAAAAACTCAATCTCATATTGTTTCTTATCAAATACAACCTTTTTTCACACAATTGATTGAAACCTTATCATTGATGCAGATATTAGCGCCTACACCTGGCGTATGTAATGGTCGTAAGCTATCTGGTAAATTAAGTCATTTTTTTTAGAGTTTCTATTTGCTCCCGAAACTGTTATAAAATAGTAAAAATGAATGAAACGAAGCTTTGTGCTTACACTGCGAACTCAAGAATTGGGTCCCAGGTTCAATATCGGCAGAGAAAATTAAGATATATTTAAAGAGAGGCTTAATGCTGATTGTAGAAGATTGCTGAGAAGGGCAATTATGGTCAGAGACAACTGGCAGGACAAAGCTGGCTTTTATTCTCTCTATTTAGTCGAATGCATTGGCTTAATGGGAGTGCGCGAACTGGCCTTGTGCAATCTTCTACGTAAATCATTGAAATCGTCTTATGATAATACGAGGCGAGTTATAAGCGTTTAGTTTTCTCACTTATATATGCTTTTTCAAATGAAAATGTCTACTGAAATATCCGCATACAATTTCGCGTTTTTATGTCGGTAGGATGACCAAACCTAAGCACGCACTGACTGATGCTGATGCCTTCTATTTTCAATTATCAAAAAATGACTTGCCATTGCGCAGGTTTCTTGAGATCACAAGATAAGAAAGCTGGGTCATATGAATGCACGGTAACCTATAGAGTCGGGACATCGGCGCTAAGTAGACATCAATCATGATTTCTCAGATTTATTACTCTGGAGATACCTCTGAATAGGTCGAGCATTTATACTTACTACAACTTTCGTCTTCGAAGTAGCTATAAAAAAAAAAAAACACTCTGGTAAAAATCTAATTTTTTATTCGCTCAAAACTATCTGAATGCTTCTTTGGCAGTAACGTCGAACAAAGTCCAGTAAACTATACTGCACGTACGTTTGACGTTCCGTTTTTTTTGACCAACTGAAAATGTAGGTTGTCTTAATACGCTAAGGCAAAATGTTTGTTCATTGATAAATACAAATCGCGTACCCTAAATTTTTCCTATTATATCTACTATATAACTATTTATCCTTACACCACCTGCCGCAGTCTTGGCTGTCGCTTCCTGTGGCAATTAGCTTGGCGGCAGCCTTGCCGCCCGCCACCGTAGCCGCCATGATTAATTATCACCGCATTACATGTGTCTTATCAGCATACTATGTCCCAAGTTGAGTTCTGTCTGCCAGTGGTGGTGTGCATGCCCAATGATTAGTATATATATAGTGGGAATAAAAGCGAAATCTATTTTTATGTACATATCTGTTCACGGGTTCAGCTAAAATAGCAAACTAGGCGTGTATGACAATGATGGGTAGGTGAAAGTTAAGCTCGCATGCTAGCATCCTTATAATATCGTCACCATGTTGGTAAAGAGCCACTATTATATCCATTTTTTTCTTGCCTTTTCATGCGTTTTCCTCCCGTTGACATTTCTAACTTTGTCCCCACGCCGGCGTCTTACCACAGCCAACCGGTCCGTCAACAAACGGCCTTTCATATTCACAGATATACACAGAATCATCATACATTCACACAATAAAACATAATCGCCATAATATAACATAGTAATAACACTCAGAATCGAATCAAGATAAGATAACAGTGCCAGCAAACGATAAAAGATAGACGGCGGCACCACCTGCTGCTACCACCCGTCATGAACCGCGCATTATGTAGAAACATGTATACCAGTTATCGTAGCAGACCGAGTAAACTTCGCTAGGTGTAGTAATACCTAACAACAATAACGACGATCCAACACTGCCTGTTTCTCTGCCGGTCCATCCGTAGCAGTACACAAGCCCCTAGTCGTATTAGTACCGTAGATTTTTATGGCTGTACAGTAGAAGATATTGTCGCAGTACGTAGTTGTGGGCAGGACAAACTCTGAGGAGAACAGGCGTTGGTACGCGCCGGACCTATACGAGCCGTCACCCAGCTCAAAGCAGATCGGCGCCGATTCGGCCGCCGATAATGATGATGGATGGCAATCACTACAAAAGGTAGCGCTATCGACGAGGCGGTGGCAAACAACTATCTTCATAACAATAACAATCATGAACAGCGGTAACAACGCCACCACTCTACAACAACAGGGGCAGCAGAGAAGCATGTAGTCGACTGGAACCGCAGACTCAATCTGTGGCGACAGTCAAGAATCATCCCTGTTGAAACTAGAAGCGTTCCGGAGGTTAATTTGCGACAAAATCAAGAAAACGAATTATATGAATTAGGTTTTCTTGGTGTTGTTAGGCGACGGACGTAGCAAGATTGAATGTTTTAATTTTGGAAGTAAAAAATCAAACAAAACTCGCTAGAAATATACGGAAATGATTGAATCAAAGCGTACCGAGCCTTCGTGAGTGGCAGTTTTTTCCCACTTCAGACTCAGTGCCTAAGTCGTTACGTACCAGATGTGGGTCCTGCAATGGGCCAAAGAAAAGTAAATTCCCACTGGCTAGTCACATATGCATAGCAGCAAATCGAGCGTTATCGATAGCGAGCAGTGTTGATAGAGACATTATCTATTGTTACGTTCCTTCCCGTCGATTTGTTTCACTATTGCTGGCTCGTGTACCGCGTGCGTGGATCGCTGCTGATTGCTTCTGTTTCCTAAGTGGCCCACATGTAAATTTCTGTGTAGTAACCAGCCGGTCATTTATCATGCGTCCACCTCTTCCATTAGCTTTCTCTCTTTTTTTTCTCGGCTAATTCTAAGTCGCTTTTTATCTTACCACGCTGTAAAATTTACACGAGGGCATTTACAATTCTCCGATGAAACATTGTAGTCGGTCGGACCCCTCTTCTTTGTTGGCTAACTATTCCGTCACATTAGTGTACGGTGATTTATCGTTTCTTATTTATGCAGTTACCATTCATAATGATGGTAATATAATAACGGCGGCAGAGTTCGATGGTGAGAGTTATCAGGGCGATGTTGACTGTCTAGTTGTTGAGGATGGTGGTGATGAGTATTTTCATAGAGCGCGCATAGAAGGTGGTCATTGAAGCTAGGATAGACGGACGACTTATCCAGAACGACTCTTCCTTTTAGGTGGTCAGATGCATAGAAACGTGCTAATAGCGAAGAACTATCTTCTTATTTGCGAACGTATTTTCACTGATAATAAGAAACACACTACGAATTCCCACTAACGCTGGACAAAAACAAGATGTATGTTAGATATGAATGGAAATTCAATAGAAAAGGAGCAACGAAGGGTGGTGTTGAAGCTATTTTTCTTTGCATCTAGCAATTATACAAAGTGAATTTGTAGTAGACGTCTGGATGTAATTTCTTTTAACAGATTTTTCTAGGTTAAAGTATAATTAAATTACACAAATAAGGATTTTTAAACCCGCAATTAATCCTCAACCTCTATCTCTCATATAACCCCGGATCTAAACCGTAAGATATTACCGCGGAGGTCATCCAAGAGGGGTCCGTGGAATAACTGGCGTTTCAGCGCCCTGCCGAAACCCGCGGAGAGCATGCTCACATTGCGAACAATTCTGAAGTATAATAAATACTATGTGCCGTATATTTTTCCATCACTTGTTGGCTATCCGGTCCCTTTCATCAATGAGATGTGGATCCCCGATGTCTGTACTTTATATGGACAAAGAGATATGCCACTGCCATGTAAGTGTTGTTCTACGCGTCATCGTCGGCACTCCTTGCATACGATTGCAGGCCGCCGTTACTTCGTATTAAGAAGGATAAGAAAGCAAAGGAAATCTTTGTGCGAAAAATTCCTTTGGCCCCCAACATAAATTAAAACGCCGCCAACATTATGTAGACGCAATGCATCGAGCGTGCTACCGACTCAGTCATCGGCAAAAAACATTTGTCGTCAAATACCTATATTTACTATTATTAATCCCTAAGAGCAAGGCCTCAGCCGTCACTTCCTAAAGTAGGTTTATGAATAAATTAAAGCTCAAAGCGCCATTATTGTTGCACATGATAGGCAGAAATGCTCTCTCGCCGCACCTTGTGATAATCCCTTTGCAATAATTTCGATCTCTAAGAGTGCTTAATGTCTACCTGGGCAGAAAGAGGGTTAATTCTTGATGAAGTCTTTCCAAGAAACTCCGGTTTCGGCAGTTATGGCAGGGCTCTTTACCTGTAGATTGGCTGACGGGATCGCTAATGGTGATTGACAAGGGTCTCCCTTTCATCAATTAGCTCCCAGGACGCCCAGTACATGGACGCACTGCCTGTAATAGATGTGAGCCGCCATTTCTATAAATGAGATGGACATATTATCGTGCGCTATAGCTAGT